CTGAAGAGGAGGTTACCCGTCTCCGGGCCGATCTAGAGCGCACCGAAGGCCTTCGAGGTAAATACCAATTCGAACAGGATAAATGGAGTACTGAAGTTAGCAGATTGCAAGCGGAGTTAGATAAGCATCGCGAACGATTTGAGGCATCGCAAACCGAAATCCAACGTCTTCAGTCCGAAAAAGAGCAGGCAGAAACAAAATTGCATGAAGTCAATATACAGCTGGAACTTTCCAAGAACGAAGTCACTAAATTATCTACAGCGATGGAAAAACAGAGAACCGACCTCGAAAGAGCTCACATCGAATGCGAAAAGTTCAGGGATAGATGTGAGAAATTGAAACTGCGTTCGGATCAATTAGAGAAAGATAATGAAAGGTTGAAAGGTGAATTGACACAAATTGAACGGATGAAGTTGCAAGCTGTTGCGGGTGACAAAGCTAGGACCGAGGACAGACTTGAAATTGAACGACTTCGTGACAAATTAGAGAAGGCTATTCAAGCAAGAGATGCCACAGAAATGGAGGCAGGCCGCCTAGCAAAGGAACTTGAAAAGTCACAAATGCATCTCGCTAAGTATCAGGAGACGAACGAAACGACACGCGTAGAATATGATAAAATGACCAATGAATTGGGACGAATGCACGAGCGTTTAGAACGAACGATACTGGAAATGCGTCAAATAGAACAAGAGAGAGATGCCCTTAGAGCGGAAATACAAAACACAAGACGCAACATAGAGCAACAGCAACGCACTTTAGATCACCGCACACAGGAGACTTTAGTCAAACTTCAACAAGAACTCGCCCAATCGGTTAGAGATAGAGAAAAGATGGCCTCTATCCTCGAGCAACGTGACAAACAAGCTGACGCTATCGAAAAGCAGATTGTCAAATTAGAAGCGGATACCAAACAATTGACAATCGAACGTGATCAACTTGTTGCTCAATTAGAAAAGTCTCAAGATATGCTTGTAAACTTCCAGAGGGAACTTAACTCGTCGGAGACAGAACTTCAAAAGCAGCGACAAGAAGTAAGACGACTGCAAGAAGAGCAAAGAAAAATCACACAAGATTCCGAACGCGGTGCAAAATCAATTATCGAGAGTCGTGACAGAGAGATCGTTAAACTACAACAGCAAATGCAAGCTGTTACAAAAGAGAAGGATACTCTCAGACAGCGAGCAGAGAGAGCCGAACAGGAAGCGAAGAAAGCGGCTGAAGTTGATAAATGGAAATCAGCCGTGGAAGCTGAGAAAACAAAAGCTATCGCAGCTGAAAAAGCGTTGTCGGAGTGCCAACAGCGCTTAAACTCATTAGAGAAACAGTTCCAGACTCAGCAACATCAATTGCAGCAGTTGCAAGCTCGTGGACCGTCCGACGTGCAGTCCGTACAAAAGCAGCTTGAAGCGGCTCAAGCGGAGGCGAGATCGCTCGCTGTGGAGAGGGAACGTTGCCAGGCACAGCTCGAGATGCTTGTTCAAGAATTGGAGAAGAGCCAGGTCAGTTGGAGGATCGCCCGGCCGATAGCTACCGGGAGGGCTATGCGGGGTTGAATCGAGTTTGACGCTAGTACGGCTTGGCAAACGAGTAATAGCTAATGCACTCGAGTTGTTTCACACTTTAACTCTTACTGTCTCGATTTCTTTAAAAAATATAATTTTTGAATTATCTATTTTTAGATTTTTTTGAATGCTTAATAAACGTACAAATTGACATAATTTTTTCTAGACATCTATTCTTTGCTTAGATTTTAATCTAAACATTTACAGTATTTTTTACTATTTGCGTCATGCTACATATTCTATTATTAAAAAAATAGATTTTATTTAATCAAATTTCAAACTTTTTTGCCATGCTGCAAAAATATAACACCTCGCAATATCTATAATATGAACGACACAGTAAACTCGATTGAACCGCATCGCGGATCATTGCACCGGTGTCAGTAGTATGTTGTTTTCAATGTTCATGTCATCATCGGTCATACATTGTTGTATAGCATGCCTCCTGCCGCTGGGCATCCTCCAACCCCTCATTTCGTATTTAGTTTCATCATTAAAGCGGCGTCAAATTTCATGAATGTAAATGTTTCGGCAAGCACCTGACATTTCCTCACGCACCATCCACGATACAATCGGTTGGCAATGTTCGGTGCAATGCTTTGTCCGGCTTCTGGACGCCCTGTCCGGTCCTGTATATATGTCCGGCCGGTCGATGGCCATATGTCCGGTCACCGGGCACGTCCGGATACTGGACAGCCTAATTATTTTTGTATCTTTCAGCCATCGCTATGCAACTGTGTATTGTGTTGTGAATTAAAGATGTTTTAAATTATTTTATTCTATCATTATAACGCTGCAATTATGATTTGCCATTTACTTTTGTACAAATAAACAACCTTTTAAGAGATCATAATTACAGTTAAGCTTATACTTAATTTTGCTATTTGTAAATATTTCGAATGGTATGATGGAAATGTGGGTTCTGATAGCAGTTGTATTGAAATCGAAATAATAGTAGACTGGGTTTTTTTCATGGCAAAAGTAAACTTGACTTTATTTCGAGCTTAATTGATAGGCTCTTAGCTGATTTGACCTATGTAGTGTTGTTTCTCAAGGACCGCTATCATCTCCCACGCTTACATATAAATGAATGATAACACAAAAATATTTGAACAGCTCGCACTCCAAGAAGCGAACAAGAAACTCCAAGCTGGACAGAGCGCCAAAGCTGGGGACGATACGGCTCAGGCTAGGAGGCAGTTGCAAGAAGAATTCAAGAAGTTAGAAGACACGAAGAAGCAGTTCGAGGACAACAGAAGAGCAGTGGAGAACAAACGAAAGGATGTAGAGGAGAAGGAGAAATCGCTTACGGAGGTAGATCGACAGTTAAAGAAGAGAAAAGAACAAATGGACCAAATGGAGGCATCTTTGAGGAAGGTAAGATTCTTAATACGATATTCAGATTTTCTTTTTGCATGCAATTAGCTACAGAAATTAGTTTAATATATCAGTTTAGCTTCAATGATAGGCCTTTACACGCTTATTGCAGCTTGGAAGTGTGTTGGAATATCAGCCAATTAGGCAATAGATAAAAATGTCGTCCTTTATTTCATCTCAAGTCCAGGGTCTAGTTGGTTCTCACGTCGGGAACTAAAAGAAAAAGACACATTCTATCCAAATTTATTATATATTTCCAATCACGAATTATTTATCAGCCTAATTTAGTAGAAAAAACATTAAATTTTATTACAAATTACAAATGAGACGTTTTCATCTCTGCGCTAAAATCGTTTGCTCTCTACGATGTTTGCCAAACCAGATGATATTACACAACAAACATCCTATTTCAGGCTGGCGGAAGCACAGCAGCGGTGACAGACATGAATCGCAAGCTCACAGAAATGCAGAAGGAGGCTGACGAGGTTAAGAAGCAGCTCGGTCAAAGCCAAGAGGAGTCGAAGAGGCTCTCGGCTGAGACCGAACGCTTGTTACAGCTAGTACAGATGTCGCAAGAGGAACAAGCGCAGAAAGAAAAGCAGATCATGGATTTGCAGCAGTAAGTTCTTTACTTCGCTTTATAAAGTCTAAACTTAAAAAAAACCTAAAGAGTATCACTGAAAATCAGTGCTGTGGTCACAAGGCTCTAGTGTCTATTGAGTGAATTAAAACTGCGTGTTATTTTGTGTGCAACACTTACTTTACAATAAAATTGTATGATTTTATTGTACAATGTAGACTTTGAAATAGAAAGTAAATAATATGATAATATAATGAATATTGTATCATAATAATGATAATCATAATCGTCACACATAGTTAATATTTTTTATCTAAGTAGGTGAAATCGTAAGCGCTAACGATTAGAGAACTCTCGTAATTTTGGCAGTCGTTTTGTCTGGAAATTTTCCTTAATAATATATAATAACTTTTCAGGTCTGTGAGAAACCTTCAAGCCAAACTAAAAAGTCAGCAACAAGCACAAGCACAAAAAGAAGAGGTAGGTTTTCATACGAAATATATAACTGGAACTCATATTGATCATATACTCAGAGCCATATTTAGTCTTTTGATTACGGGTTACAGTTAACTATAATGAACCTTAGCTGTTTACAAATAGAACAATGTTAGTTTAATTAATACCCGATGCTAAAACAAATAAGAATTAAGCTACAATGTTGTATCTATGAGAAGCCATATATATATAAATCTCTACATCAAGTAAAAGAATGTTGTGTTTAGAATGAGCTTAAACTAACTCTTAAAATATTTTGTAATAATTTGAATTGGTATTGTGTTATAATAAACTAATTCAACGAAATTCATAGTCAATAAGATATTTTGATATATTGCAAGATAGCCCAACTAACATTACTAACACATCTTTTTCCTGCTGCATTTCAGGCCGGACCCGCTGGCTTCCTTAAAAGCTTTTTCTAAGCCCTTCTCAAGACTGTCGTTCATTTAATTTTTCGTTCGTTTTTTTTTTCTTTAACTGTCTCTTAACCGCGAGCGATTTCTTCAGACCTAAGCTTTACAATCGCTAAGTATTTGTATTGAATATTGTAATAAAGTGTTCAGATTATCGTAATATCGTACATCAATACGTCACATGTACTCGTATACAGATTTTGAGTTGGTAACCAGCACACAAATAAGATAATTAGTTTAGCATTAAGTGTTTAAAGTTTAATAGTGTTCAGCGGGACTTGTTTTTTAAGATAACGATTGTTAAGCAACATATATAATTAGAACTGTAAGTGTCCATTAGTCGATGTTACTCCGCTTTCAATCTTGTTATGCGATGACTTGACCGAGTTATTTTTGAGTTTATACGTTTTGTTACTAAATAATACTGTTTTTGATTTCTTTTTCTTTTATTTTCACATCCCATGTTAGGAAATAACGCGCGCGAGACAGAGCGAGATAGCTGCGATCGGTGACTTGACAAACACGTTGAAAGAAAGAGACAGACTCAAAAGTAAATTAGAGGAGAAAAAAATGAAAGTTATTGATCTTGAAATAGAGTTAAACGAATCTTCACTCATACTATCAGAGATACTTAAAATATCGGACGGCCAAGACCTGAGTTATATTAAAAAGAGCCCATTCTTGGAACTGCAAAAGAGTGGTAAGGTAGTGGATAGACTCGATAAATGCAGATTTAGCAGGAGCCACAACGACTTACTAAATGTAGGCGAGAAACCACAGATTAACGCGCAAAAACTAACACGTAAAATAACAGATCTAACAAAGGAGATTGAAATAAAGAATTCTAAAATTATAGAACAGCAACGCAGTATATCAATTTTAGAGGAAGCGTTGCGAGAAAATAATAATATTGCTGAGTTTGAGCAACTTTTGGCGGTCATAAGAAGCAAAGACGAAAGGATTGAAGAATTGGAGAACATTTTGAATAAGTCTGGTGACACAAGAAAATTCTACAAAGATAAAAGAATTTTGAAATTAGAAGAAGCGTTGAAGGAGTCAATTTTGATCGCTGCAGAGAGAGAAAAGGTTTTCTATGAAGAAGAAAAAAGGAGGATTGAAGCAATAACAAAGGTAACATTCAAATATTTTATAACATTGTGAAATTTATTTAAAAGTATCCCGAGTGTCCCGTTTTTTTTTTCAAATGTTTAGTGTACTTTTATATTCATTAAGTTTTATTGATTAATTATACAGTATTTACAATTTTCTTAACCTATAAAGTAATAAAAGAAATAATTAAAATCAAAATCAAAACAAATTTAAAAAGTTTGGTCCATGTGGCAGTGTACCTTTAACGCTGGCAACATTTCCTCGCTGTATTGCGATACTTATTCGTTGAGCCAGGAAAGTGCCAGCTCTGGGGTCACCTGTACTATCTACTTGGCGCCAACTCAAATTTTTAATAAGGGTCTGTGCACTTGAACCACACGGCCCACTCCAAAGGGAAAAAAATCGAATTTAGTGTACTTAATTTGATTTCTTCAATGTTTTACTAAAAGTTGCTCTTGAAACAAGATGATAACCTCCGATGCTCGTAATTTTGACAATCCAACGTGATTTCAATGTGAAGAGTGCCTAAATAAACCGCTAGTGCATGGTTATGGTTTAATAATTTCACTTTTTTATTGTCAGATGAAGAAAATGGAGCAAAGATTAAAGTCACTACAGAATGCGTCAGTTATGAACTGTAAAACTTGTTCATCTATATTGAAACGGCAAAAAAATTACGGAAGTGACATTGCATTACTGTCAAAAACAACGAGATGCAATACTACGACATCTATCTAATGTTATGTATGTAATCTATGATCCTGCATCCATGCATGCAAACTTAAACTTCTTCTGAATTCTGGACAAGGATAGTGAGATTTATAAGTTTTTGATACCTACTGATAAAGTTTTAACTAATAATTATGAAAATTACAGCAAAGATCTTCTTGAAGAAGCAGTTAGTGCAAAGGACTCTGAAATAGCTGAACTCGAATTAAAAGGTGTTCTGGATGAAAATGCAACAAACATATGTGAATCTCTAAAGCTGGAGAGAGATAGAATGCTGAATAGACTAAAGCTAGAGGTAAACCTTTCTGCTATTCAATGTTATCAATTCTATAAATCAGGTTTCTTCAGAAGTTTTGGAAAACTATGAAATCTTCAAAGGGTTATTTTATATTTTGAAAACTTATACAAAATCCACCCTGATTTTATGTTTCTCTGCAAATTAATTACCCAAAGATTATTTATTCTTCACACAGAAAAAATTGCTGGGAATTGCATTAAAAATCTTTATAATACTTGAATGATAATATCTCCCTTTGAAATAATATAAATAACAATAAATAAATTACAATTTGTTTGATTTCTTTTTCAGAATGAAAAGTTGGTGGAATTTCAAAAGGTTACCAACATAACCTCGGAAGAGAGTTCATTGCCTATACTCTCTGACGATATGACGTCAGCGGACAACCAACTCGTTTGGGTATCGTAGATGGAAACTTTAGAATGCGAGTGATTTTTATTACTAATAACTTAACGCAAAATTCAAGGACATAATTTAGACACAGAAATGTCTGTCAATGTGTGTGTGAAATCGTGTCTTTGAATTATGCATTCGTTTCTTTAACAGGCATTTCTCACAACATATACTTACTGCTAATGTTTTTTTTTTTCGAAACGTGTATTTGAAGCGTAATTCTAGGATATAAACCCGTTTAATTTAAAAAAATGACAAACAATCCAAAGGCTATATAGTTATAATTTTAAGTTTAAACTAATTTTATATTAAGATAATGCAATTTTACTTCGGTTTTTAAGTATTGACCGAGGTAAAACTTTGACTTTCATATTAGTTTTTTAGGTTTGTATTTTCATTATTATTTTGGGGTAAAACAATCATATTCATAGATATACCAATGTGTGAAATAAATATAAAGTCATGATTACACTGGGGGATAATGTAAAACGAATGACGCAAGACAAAATGTGACGTCCGATGCTAATCGAACGTAATACGACGTTTAATGTCATGTGTCAACGCGTATGACAGTTGACCAATTACAACCAAATGGAGCGCACAACCGCTCCCTCTCTCGTGTTAATGATCCCAAAATTTGATTTGTAGTGTGCCAAGTGCCAAACATGTGTCCATTCTATGACCTTGTCTATGGTTATCAACTCGCTACTCAATTTTAGTAGTTTAATAGTGATTTTAACATATTAATGTGTGTAACTAAAACTTGCTGAAGCTGTCTCTTACGTAAATGATTTTGATACATGAGAAATCAATTATGTGAATTAGCCATGTTTGCAGGAGGAGGACATCCCGGCTACTGTATTATGACGTCATAAAGCTAAGTCTTATGTGTTGTGAACATCTATCACTTGTCATCTCACCCGCTACCTTACCATCGCTTTTCACCAGCCTTACGCCAATAAAACCTCTTCAGAGACTGTCTCCTTTCTTTTATAGTCTGTGTCATAGCGTCACTTTGACAGCTGTCAAACGTGGACGTTATTGTAAATAGTGTTTTAAGTTGTAACTCTCACACGATGCGACACGGAACCATTTATCGAAAAGTAATATTTTTTAATATATTGATTGAGATTGAAAAATTATTTATCCTATTCATATACTCTAGCACTTGTTGACTTATACATAAAGCAATAATGTAATCTTCGCTCGTCTTAGATTAACTCGGACTCCGTGTATATTTCTAGTCAAATGTATTGAAACTGCTTATTGTTATTAACTATAAATCATAAGCATTATATAGTAATGCTTAACAAGCATTTATTTTAAGCACTAATATTATTTAAAACTAATTTATGAGGTTAAGCACCACAGTCAGAAATTGTGTTTGAAATTACATATCATGCACAAAGTTTGGAAATCTTTGGGCATTATCATGGTAGCTTCGATTTTAGAATGTTAAAATGCTTATCTGATCAAGCACTGCCTTAAGTGATAAGTTTTCTTTGTATCGAGAGCCTACGTAAGCTTTAAGACGTCCGATCGGCTCGGGCGTTCGAAACGGAATGAGGTTTGCAGTATTTTTAGCACATTGTGGCAGCTATTCAACTACCCACAGGTTAAAGAGCTTTTACATTTTTACAGTCTTGCAAGTGTTAGGCATAGACAATTTTTTGTGAATTGAGATAAAGAATGAGTGAAACTTGTATGTTATGTTATATCTGTTGAATTATGAAAGTTTTATATGTTGTTCTGATACTGTAATCATTTAGCCACGTTAACAATAAATTCGATATTCTGTACAAAATGATATAAACATAGTTTCTTCAAATCAGATTGCTTTTATGGGGGAGTACATAACACCAAACTGGAAGAAAATTTAATAATGGTCTGCCCATCTCGAACTTAATATAAGAAATACACTCCTTATGAAGGCATTATGAGAATCCCGCATTCACTTGTTTTAAAAAATTGTTATTTCTTTACCTGGGTCCAAATTCATTTTAATGTTTTTTTTTATGAATTTAAAAAAAGTAATATCCTCTATTGACAAAATATATGGCTAAAGTAGTGCGTATTGATAGAAAAGCTGCAATGTTGTGTTGACATCTAAGCTAATGATTTAGTATTGATGATCGCTCTTGACTTTGACCATTAGTCGATGGTCTATTCTCAAATCATAGCCAACAACAAGGTGTAATAAAATAAGGTACGATCAATAAAAAAACTAAATTTTAGTGAATTTTCCCTACCATATTTTATTGACCATGTCAAATAGATAAGTTACGCATTGTTATTGTAATACTATTTTAACAGGTATAATTGTATATTTTAGTCATAAATATGTAATATTACAACGCATAAATTAATTGATTATATATCAAATTTCTTTCGATTTCATACGATAATAAAAATACTCTTATATTAAATGGTATCTATACGTAAGATAATTTTAACTTCTACTGATAAACGTATAATGTTGCTAACAATAATTAAAAAATTTGCTTACAAATAATAACATAATAATTTTTGCCAATATATGCGTTGTAATATTCAACTTGACTTTGCAGCAAAACTTTTGTATCGATAAAATGTAGGTGAAATGTACGATCACGAAATTAGTTATTGTTAAAGTTCGTATTGTTTCAAGATATATCGACAGATATGCTAAGGATAAATGTTCTTTGAAATATAATATCTTCGTATAATATTATTTTGTCTATCATTTTCACCCAAAGGTACGACTGCAGCAAAGGCGGATCCAGGGAAGGGGGTTAACCCCTCCCTGGGACAAAATTAATGGAAAAAATTAATTGATACTGTTTCAATAAATTATCCCAAATCAGCTTTATTTATTTTTTTTTTTTTAATATACTCCTACATCCTAGCCTATCAGACACGCAATCAGGCAGATGTGACCGAGATCTCCCCTTTCTTAAAAAGGGACATTATTATCTTAAAGGGTTGGCGTCTCCCGCCGGCCCCGGGCGACAACTACTCCGGAAATATCGTCATAATATTTATGGGCGAGTCGGGGCCCGCTGCCCGGCGCTACCTCTCGTGCTATTTTTGTGACTGACATGTTTGACAATCTTCCCGCAGAATTTTTCCAGTTGCGATCAGTGCTCAAGCAAAATGTCGGATAGCCAATCCCGGGATACCCTCTTGCAAGTCTCGAGCTCCAGATCGCATCTGGCCCATCTTTCATCTTTTGGCATCTTTCAAACGTCGCCCAAAACAGCTTTTGTCAGTGGATATTTACAGATAACAACAAAATATATATATTCTTATAACTATATCTTATTCAACCAATTTAAACTTTAGCGAATACTTGATCCGGTAGCAGTTTATGTAACTAAAGACTCCAGCCGTGCATGTGAATCTTACCCTTAGAATACCTTTTTTTTTTAAAGTAAAATATTTAAAAGTATAAAGCACCAACTCATATACACCTTATCAATATACCCGCAATAGCAAGCAAACGACAATACCTAGACAACAGTTTTATCAACAACATCATTCAAGTAACAGCTGATCTGATCTTTCAATAATATGATATAGTATTTGTAATTACTAAAGTAGAAATACGTAATACTTTCTTTTAAAATAGTCTTGTATAATATGTGTCATTTAATATTCTTTATTCGAAAGAGCACCATCTATTAAACAGTAGCGTCACTACAAAGACGTTACTTAGTTCTCCTATTCATCAACAGAGGGCCAATATTGAAAAGTTTTCATGACAACAAGTTTAAAAGGTATTAAACGCTATCATCTGCGCTTAGTATTGATACAAAAATATTACAGCCTGCCTACGTGCAAAACTAGGAATAATGAAGTTGAACTCTAGAAAAAGATGCAAGTAGTCATGTGTAAGTGAATTATTTCTCAAGAATAAACTACAGGTAAACCATATGGGATATGCAAACTTTTTTGAATTCTTAATAAAAATGAAAGTTTGAAAAAAAATCCGGGAACCCCAATAGCGTGAGTTCGACGAGCGGAACTCTTGCGCACCTGCTTCCGGTGACGTCACTGCAGTTGTCACGTCGCAACGTCGAGTCGTGAGAGTAGATTTTATTATTCATAAAAATGTTTAAAATATAATTGTTGAAATACGCTTTTTTGAATTTGCTTTTGTTAGTATTAAGAAAAATTTGGCCATCGTCATAATTATTTTTGCTTTTAGGAAGTATGCACTTGTATGCGTCAAAAGATGACAATATTACATATTATATCCTTTTTGTAAAGTTTTTGAGTATTCCAAATTCGATAAAACCCAAATAGAGTATGGGGCAGATATTCCTATAAAGGTTCCACTTTTCAGCTTGCTAAATTATTTCCAAGCCCTCCGTGCCAAACGCGTACTAAGATATACCCAGTTACGAAAGCGAACAAAAAAACTGATTAAATTACAGATCCTTCATTTCATATCAAAATTGGGCAAAAAACTCAACGCCAATGTTAGAGCCGAATTTACACCGCACTTTTTATCAGAATGCTGTGGTTATCCTAATTGGTGTAATAGTCCGACGCTGCCTCGGGGTGATTAGCGATGCAGTAGGTGCGTGTTCACAGTAAGATTGTTGTATTTGGAACTTGTACAATACACTGATGTACCTACTTGAAATATGTTTAATAAGCGGTAGCTCATGAGGTTTTTGGTGATATCTATATATTACAAAAATACTATTTTTTGCAAGCCCCTTACATAAATAATGATAATCATTAATTTAATTTATTTCATACGTTTTCCTGACTTTTTGGATGAATGGTGTCCGGCTCGAAGGACTAATGTGCAGCTTGCCAGCCAGTATTTAACTTTAGACTTTGAAATATGTATTTAACTTTATATGTAATAAATGTCACGAGAACCTGTATACTATATAGTATATTATGTATACGTAGTGTATGTGTTAGCAAGCTGCTCTAGATAAGTAAATATATGAGAGGGTGATACCTAAAAACCTAAAAACTCTACGGTTCTCTAAGACCTACAGTAGTACCCCAACACATAAATATATAAATACATAAATACGGAATGTCTGCACCAAGAGACCTAAGTGACGGAGCTCCTCGGTAAGGATCAGGGGTTCAAAGTGGAAAGGGTCATGGTTGCAGGTAAGAGTGCGTGGTTGTGGTAACTTACTAACATTAAAAGTTTAATTTTGCTTCGAGTTCATGGCCACAAACCGTAAGGCGTGAGTCGTAATTGTCAGGAGTCAAAAAGTCTATAAAAACTCGATTGACACCCGTTACTTTAAAGCAGCAATTAATTTGTCTCGTTTTTCAAAGTCTAGTGAACGTATTTAGTAGCAAAATACACAAATTATCTTCCATACAAAAACGGCATAGGCAACGAATCATCTACAATTGTCTGTTTTACGCGAGTATAATCCACTTTATTCGAGATATCTGGCCAAAGTTTTAAAATCAGGTCTTAGTTACACATACAAATCTCTTTCTGATGTTTGAAATGCAAATTCGTGCCTGTGTTATCACTTTTAATGCCTAACTCAAAACATTCTTTCGCCGGAAATCTCACCCAAGATGCATAGTGCCCCAGACGCGGTTAAATAACTTTATCTCTCTTGTCTCCAATTCCGAAGCAGCAATGGGAATATACGAAATAGGGATTACGATGATTATAGTAATTTATTTTTCTTAGATTTACAATGTTAAAGGTAGACAGACATGTAATGATAGGTTTATTATTAAACTGCGGATTTAACACTTATGTTTATCGAAAAAGAACATTCAGGGGTTGATCATTAATCACGTGACTAATAATTATTTGAAAAAATACAATTTTATAAAAATCACTGGAATTCATAGGTAAGTTCGGGATCGGAACCACAAAATCGTCAAAA